ACTAGATAAAATTTTGGGGAGCACAGCCACACCCTTTTGCCCTTTATTTTCTCCCTTTACTTTTAATGTATAACATAGTTGAACATTACAGAAGTTGTACAAGAGACCAAAAGTATTAAGCTTATGTAGAGATAAAAGTATTGCGTCCACTTGGAGTACATATGTGAACCAACTCATTTTTTTGATAACCAGTAAATAAAGGGAAAGAGTCAAATATTATTTTTTCTTGCCTTTCTAACAGGAATTGGATTTCAGGGTATCCAAATATTTGATAAAAATTGCTCTTTATATTAATATTTTGGCTAACGAACAGAATAAGAAATGAAAGGAAGGAATTAATGGATCCAGGAAAACACTATGACAACCATCCTTGCAGTATGAGAATCAAAGAGATTTGATGTTCAAGGAAAGAGAAAATAACACTTATAGTTTATTTGCTTAAAAAATAAACAAACCTTGATCTGATCAAGACTCCAGATATCATAACTGATTTACTGGAAATAAAGGAGACAGAAAAATATGAAATGATCTTTTGGAAATACAGTCATCAAAATGCAGGTTTCACAAATCTGGTTTATTGAACAAACAAATATCAAAGTGAATCAAAAGGGATCATGGTTTTGAAGCCTACAAACTGAGGAAATGTAAAAGACTTATCAACTGAATGAATGCATGGACCTCATTTGGATTCTGATGTAAAAGAATGTTTAATAATAAGTTATTAGATACAGGTTTGGTATTGAAGAACTTTTGTTGGAGTGATCTTGTAATCAGGAGTCCTTATCTTTCTAAGATACCTATTAAAGTATTTACAGATACAATGTTTTGTTTCTGGCCTACTTCAATAATGCAGTGGGAAGTAGGAATATAGGTGAAAGGCTATTTTCTATGACATGATAATGCTGATTATGTAGCTGATACATGCAGAGTCATTATTATATCTTATGTAATTTTTACAAGTTTTATATGATACATTCTACCAGATTAACATTTTAAATATTCCTAGTGTGGAATATACAAAGTACCTCTAATTTTTAAATTATTAATTTTAATATCAAAAATTTATTTAAAACTTATTTCATTAGTAAATTCTTATTAAAGAAACCAGAATAAAATACTTTAATGAACTAAACTTCTTCTCTTTATTACCTCTACTGGTTTTATAGATGGTAGATTAAAATCTAAAGCAGGCTTGAACCTTTAGACACCTAATTAATTAACTTCAATTTAATTATGGACTTATTATTTGCATTTCTAATGGACTGAGATTGATTATAGGTCATTAACAGTTATTAATAAAAGAACCCATGTTTAAAACACATGAGTTTGTTTCAAAATTAAGAGGCAAAGGTCAGCCATAAAATGTTAATAACAATATTGAAAGTATCAGGCATTAAACAAACTGACATTTAACTTCATGCATTTCTTAGAGGATAATTCATGAATCTGTTAATTGGTCTCACCTCTGCATATCCACTGGGGTACTTACACATACACATGAGTATAGTAGATAAACTTTTATTAGTCCTAGATTTACATTTAAATTATTGTAAAAGACAACACAAAGAAGAACGAAAGTAGATTCTTATCCCTCACCATGTACAAATATTAGCTCAAAATTAATAAGACACCTAAACATAAGACCTGAAACTAATAGACAAAAATATAAAAGAAAATGCTTCAGTACATTGAAATGAGCAAGGTGTTTTTTTCTTTTTTTTGGTTTAACCCGATCCCAAAATCACAGGGAAAAAAACAAACAAACAAACAAACAGATGGGATTCATTAAACTAAAAAACTCTGACACAGTAAATAATCTAGAAAAAAACAATCTATACAATGAAACAAGATACTTGTAATCTACACATAGGACAAAGGATTAATAAACTAGACCAGAACTCAAGCTCAATAACTAAAAAACAAAAATTCAACTTAAAAATGAACAGTATATCTAAACAGAAATTTCTAAAAGAAAGATATATAAATGAGTAACAGCTACAGGAAAAACATGTTCTAAATCACTCACCAACAGGAAAATGCAAATCAAAACCACAAGAAGATATCACCTCATCTAGTCAGATTGTCAAAAGACAAAAGGCAACCAATAGTGGACAAGATAAGGAGAAAAAGGAACCCTTGCATTCTGTTGGTGGGTTTTTAAATTAGTACAGTCACTGTGAAAAACAGAAGCACCACACATCCAACAATCCTGCTACCAGATAGGTAAACAACAGAAATGAAATCATTCTGATGAAGAAACAATTCCATGAGCATACTGCCCTATCTTCAATGGCCAACCAACAACCCAAGTGTTCGTCAAATGATGAATGGATAAAGAAATTATGGTATATAAACACAATTAAATTCTATCCAGTCATTTAAAAAAGATTAAGTCTTGCTATTTGCAACAACACGTGTTGAACTGGAAGTTACCACCTTAAGCAAAATAAGCCAAGCGCAGAAAGACAAGCACCGCATGATCTCATTCATCTGTAGAACTGAAAAGCACTGGTAGCACAGAAGTCAAGCGTGCAATGATGGTCATCCGAGTCTGAGAAGCAGAGAGAGGAGGTAGGGAAGGGGAAATTGTTGGGAAACTGGCACAGTTTTAGCCAGGTGGCCACATGGCCCAGCTACCTGAGCCAGGCTCCAGCCCCATCCTAATGGGATTCGCTGCTCCTGCTTCCCTGCCTGCCCTCAGGCAAAGTTTTAAAAGGGCCTGTTCCTGCACACCTGCTCTCTTGGTCCTTCTCTCCTGCGCTCTCTTGGCCTCTCTTGGCTCCTCTCCTCCTCTCGTCTCTTCTCCCTCCTCTCTGTCTCTCTCTCTTACAGTCTCCTTTTCTTTTCCTTCGCCGCCCCTTGACTCCAGTCTGTAGGGTGTTCCCCAATAAACCCTTCCCCTTACTCCGGTATCTGGTGTGTTTTGCGACGGCTAACAATATATAACAGAAATATTGAAGAACGGGTACTAAGCTGTAAGTATATAGGAGTAAGAAGTCCTGGTATATCACTGCACAGTGAACTATAGATAATGATGATTAGGGACAGTCATTGTGATGCAGCAGCTTAAGTTGTCACTTGGCCTGCCAACATCCCATATTGGAGTGCTTGGTTGAGTCACACTCTGCTTGTGATCCGGATTCCTGCTAATGTGCCCACAAGGCAGCAAATGCTGGGTTCCTGCTACTTATATGGGAGATGAGGATGGACATCCTAGTTCATGACTTTCTCCTAACCCAGGGTCAGCTGTTGTGACCATCTGAGGAATGAACCAGCAGATGGAACATTTCTTTGCCTCTCCCTGTCTTTTTTCTCATCCTGGTTTTCAAATAAATGACTAGATAAATCTTTTAAAATAAAAAAAATCGTATAAAATAATAAACTATAATTTAGTGAGCTATTTATATTATAATTACTTATAAGAACTTAATGAATCTCTAGATTCCAGATGTAGATCATAGAAACTACAAGTATTTCTTGAGAAATACTAAGATCTACAATCTGAATATTTAACAAAATTTCCTTCCTAACAGTAACTGCTATCTTGTTCATATAAAAGATGACAGTTGTGACTTTCATTAATCACTCTTATTTATTTGTATTTGCACTAAGGTAAGTTACATTATGTAATTTAAAGCAACTCTAAACTTTTGAATTCTCATTTAACCAATTCAATTAACAATTTGAAGCATACTCTCTCCCTACCATTCTTCAAAAATATAACTCCCTACAGTTTAAAAATTTTGCAAACTCAACAAACTGTTCAGCCATTTGAAACAATTTAATTATGTGAGCCATGCCCGGTCACTGTGAACAATTTAATCCCTTTAGTTTCAAATGTACCCTATGTATAATTTGATTTTTCAAATGGTGTTCTTGTATCTTTACAAACAAGTTAATAGCCTTCTACACTAGATGAGTCAGGTTTGAATAAATGAAAAGGAGTGATTTATTTTTATAGTCATCAATTGCTGAACTGATAAAAGAAAATTCTATAATGCATTATCTGCCTTTTGCTCTCATCTTGTTGGCTTTTATTTCACACACTTAGGCTCTCTCCACTGTTCTCATTCTCTCTCCGTTTTACCCCTTCCTTTTTCTAAAGTAGCTGATTGTTAGCATGCTAAGTTGTTCAGGGATAGTAAAAGATAATGTCTCAGATACTGTCTCCCAGTTCACAATCTATCTGTGCGTGTATCCAACTAGGTGTTAAATTAAATCTTCATTTCTTGAATCTTGTAGATTCCAAAGCGTTGCTGCGATTACAAAAGGGTGCAGTGCTTCAATGCCAAAGAGTATTACTTCAATAGATGGAAAAGAATAACACTCATCCCATTATTGCTTAAATCTCTTAGAATCTGTGTCAGCTTTCTTCACACACTGGCTTACACCTGCTTCCCTGTGTGGTAAACTAAATTACACTGTAATGCTGGAAAAAGATTTTAGCCTCAAGATGTGGGCTTAAATCCCTGACTCTTCATTTTCTGTCATTTTTAAAAATATCACTGAACCTTTCTTCTGTTTTAGCAAAAGGCAATGATGATACTTGAAATGTGTACTGATTAAACATGATACTGCATATGAACTACAATAAATGTAAGCCATTAATTTTAAGATACTTTATTCTCAGCTCTAAGAAAATACAAAACATCGCACAATTTAGGCAGTGTCTTATATTCATGAATCTTTACTACACATATTTCAGAGGCTTAAGCAGTGTTTCACAGTGGGGATAAGGACATACACAGACAATTACAGTGCTTTAGCAATGTTGTATACAAATGTTTGGAAACAGTATGTTATCACCATGCATTTTAGGAGTATGAAATCATTCCCTGCACTGCTATCTATCAGCTGTTAAAATGAAAAGGCAATCATCTCTGAGTACAAACAATATTCCTATATTCTCCACTGAGAATTTTTACTTTAGACATAGATTTCATGAGAAAATCAGCAGAAACAATAAAATTCTGCTAAAGCTCTGAAGTGATTTAACTTACTTTTTGAAGGAACTCTGAGGTTTGCAAGGACCACTTCCAGGGAATCAGCTTGAACTCGAAGTACATAGCTGGTCCTTGTCTCATAATCCAGAGGGGCATTCACATAGATAACACCTGTGATGTTATTAATCCCAAACTTATCTAGAAGGTAAAACACAGCACCATGTTATTCGTCTTCACAGGGAAACAGTTCTCATTAAAATGTACCATGATTTCAAGAACACCTATTTGCAAAAAGGGTTTAGTATAACTGATAAGATTCTTGCTTTTTGACACTGCATTTCAGCTCTTGCAACCACTAGCATCCATATTTCCCTAACGGGAGCCTTGAATTTGTAGTGTTTCTATTGTGCTTCATTTTGTTTTGAGATGCTATCAGTGCCTCTGTGGTAAATTACGTTTGGAGAGCATTACATAAAATATCCATCACCACAGAAACAGAATTGAAAACCATGCTAAAGGCTTTTGGAAGTTCTTTTTATAGAATTCTTTTTAATATTTTTCTCAATATGCTCTGAATTCATTGGATTAGTATGCTTTTTATAATTTAATGTACCCTTATGCTGTATATTGAGTGTTGTACTAAGAATTCTTTAGAGAACAAAGAGATAGTTTAAAGTTAGTAATTTTAAACATGATTTTATGTAACTGCTTTAAAATATTTTGCACTGATATTTTTAATCATTTTGTACATTATATATATATGTGTGTGTGTGTGTGTGTGTGTGTATTCGAGTGGAAAGCATGCCATATTGGTAAATATTATAATATCACATCTATTTCACTCGCCATAGCTTTTCATCTTTAATTTTTTGGTAGCATTTATCACCATCTGAAATTCCACACAATTATCTGATTAATAATTTTTAATGTCCTTCTCCTCTTATTGGACTCTTCGATTCTATGAGCATGTGAACTATTTTGTTCATTGCTCTATCTCTAGTAGATAGAACAGTATTCAGTACATAATACATGTTCAGTAAATATTTGTTGAATAAGTTGAATAAAATCATCATTTGGGGGGAGGAAAAGGTTATAAAGAGAGCCACATTTCTATCTTCACATAAACAGATTTATGGAGGGAGAGATTAAGATTAGGTTGGGACATCATAGCTTCAGTTAGGTGGTGATGTCTAAAGTAAAAGGAAGTACAGTTATCAATTATTTTTAAGATGTTGAAAATTCTGTTAGGAAAATGATAAATAACAATTCAAAATAAATTGAATTCAAATCTAAGTCTGTTGATCTAAGGTGAAAACTCAGGCTAAAAATGTCCTCACCTTCCTCATTTCCTGAAACAATGGAGTAAACAATACTCTGGTTGATGGCAGCAGCAGAAATGACACCAACCATGGTGCCTCTGGTTGCAAGTTCACTTACTGGAGGAGGTCTGTAGGTTTAAAGAAGATGATTGATTGATTTTAGAGCCACTTTCAAAATGCAGCTTTATGTTCATAAAAAACTTGACAGAAAGATAAAGATATTTCCCATATAGCTCTTCCCTCCATTATATGCATAGCTTCCTCTTTTATGAACATCTTTCCAAAGAGCACATTTTTGAAAACTGATGAACCTATTTTGATCTGTCATAATCACCCCAAGTCTACAGCTTACCTTATGTTTCACTGTTGATATTTTACATTCTATGAGTTTGGGCAAATTATAAAAAGATATGTATCTACCATTATAATATCATACAGGGTATTTTCACAGTCCTAAACATCCTCTGTATTCAGCCTATCTATCCCTTGTCACCCCTTGTCTCCTGGCAACCACTGATCTTTTCAGAGAGATCTCTTTCACTTAGCAGTAGGCATCTAATGTTCCTCGTATCTGTTCATTATTTGACGGTTTTCCTTTTTAGAACTGGGAATTTTTGCACTGTGTGGCTGTTTTACAGTTTATTTCAGTGAATAAGGATACCTCAGTTTGCTTTCATGTTTGGATAATTAAGAATAAAGATGTAAGAAACATCTGTAGTGCAGGGGTTTTGAAATTTTGGGTTAAGTAACAAAGAGCATGATTGCTAAGTAGTAAAGACTTAAAACTGTTTAGTTCTGTAAGAAGCTGCCAAATTATCTCCCAGGTTACTGTGCTAATTTGTATTCCCACCAGCTCTACATCCTTGTCATGCTGTGTTAAGGTAGATACTAAATTAGGTATCTATTTTACTTCAAATATATTTTCAATGACAAATTATTTTCAAAATTAGTTGTATGTTTATAACATTGGCTTTTGTAAATAGGCCATCAGAACTTTGTCTTCATATACTGCTATCAAGCAAACTTTTTATAAATCATAAGCACTTGTGTCACCCATTTGCAACTGATTTAAAAATTATTTAATACCATGTCTTAATATCTTTGAATATTTTCCTATCCCAATCACTACAATTTTAAAAATTTTATAGATATAAAGAGAACAAATTTCATGCATTCTGTATGTATAGTTCCAAGAAGATAACCGCATTTTCCTCACTTTGCTTCCCCCTTCCCCATTCCACCTTCCCTTGTCTTCATCAGTTTCTGCAAAGACATAATTTTAATCCACTCTATACTCACAGCCTTAATTCACCACTAATCCTAACATTCGATAAATAAGAAGTAGGAAAACCACAGTTTCAAAGCAACATAAATAAGGGCTAAAAATGATAATCTTATGCCAAGATGTCCATTTCATTCCTATGCAAGTTTTGTATTCTATATTGACCACCACATATCAGAGAAAACATACAATATTTGTCTTTTGAGAATGGCTTATTTCACTAAGTATAATGGTTTCCAGTTGCATCCATTTTATTGTAAAAGACAGAATTTCATTCTTTTTACAGCTGAGTAGTATTCCACAGTGTGTATGTATCACATTTTCTTCATCTAGTCATCATTTAATGGATATCTGGGTTGATTCCATTCCTTAACTATAATGAATTGAGCTACTATAAACACGGGGGTACAGGTAACTCTTTCATATACAGATTTCATTTCATTTGGGTAAATTCCCAGTAGTGGGATGGCTGGGTCATATGGCAGATCTATTTTCAGATCCCTAAGAAATGTCCATGCTATTTTCCATTATGGTTGTACTAGTTTACATTCCCACTAACACTGAATTAGGGATGATAGCCTTTCTACCTGGGGTGAGTTGAAACCTCATTATGGTTTCTTTTTGCAGTTCCCTGATGGCTAGTGATTCTGAGCAGTTTTTCATGTCTCTGTTGGCCATTTGCATTTCAGTCTTTGAATGATGCCTGTTCATTTCCTTTGTGCATTTCTGAACTGGGTTGTTGTTTTGTTGATGAGTTTCATGATTTCTTTGTAGATCAATGCTGTTCATCTGCTGGTTCACTCCCCAGATGGGCACAACATCTGGGCTGGGCCAGGCTAAAATCATGAGCCATGAACTTCATTCAGGTCTCTGAGGTAGGTGGCAAAGGACCAACTACTTGGGCCATCTTCTGCTGCTTTTCTAAGAACATCAGCAGGAAGCTGGATCAAAAGTGAATCCGCTGGACTTGAACCAGTGCCCATATGGGATGCTGGAGCTGGAGGCAGTGGCTTTACCCATTATGCCATATGGCAACCATAAACTAATTCTTTGCAAAGAATAACAATCAATCTATATAATTTTAATGAAAAATATAAAGCATAAATAACTATATTTAATTGCTTTTACCTATTTTTTTTAATTTTCCTGCCGTCTTTTGATAACAACCAAATATTGCATTGGGTAGTGATGCCTCTTCTATTTTCAGTCTAAGTTATTTGGGTAGGGCTGACCCTACCCAGGACATAAACAGACATGCTATACACCTCTGGACAAAAGAGGGTACTATATTGTTTGCTCATGTTCATATGTGGTGTATTTCTTTTGTAAAGCAAATAAAGCTGTTATCCAGGAGTTCTACTCTGTTAGAAAAATATTTTGGTTAGAATTTCAATATTGTCATTCTAGCAGAAGATTCTTTTTGATACAGATACCAATACAAGTGAAATAAACAATTATTTAAAACAGACCTCCCACACTAAATTTCCCTGTGAAGCTATACCTAAAGTTAAGTTGATTTCAATACACTATGGAATACTACTTAGCCATAAAATAGAGCAAAATCCTATCTTTCGCAACAAAATGGATGCAACTGCAAACCATTATACTTAATGAAATAAGCTAGTTCTACAAAGACAAATATGTTTTCTCGGACCTGTGGTAAATGGCAAAGAGGTGAATGTGATATCTGACCAAGAGGTAGAAAAGAACAGAGGCTCCTAACCCAATATTCTGCATGGAACTGCATTCTACCAACAAACACATGAACATGGACATAGATTCTCTTCTAGTTGAGCATCTTATGAGAGCCCAGTTATGGCCAAATACTTGATTACAACCTTGTATGAAACTTAGGGCACAACTAATATGTTCTTGAATTCCTGACTGATGTAAGCTTCAAGATGCTAAGTATGTTGTAGTGATATGGTTATAATGCAATAGGTGACTGATACAGATAACTCCAATATACCTTGCTTGAATATCAGAGCAATGAATTGTTAACTCATGGCAGATCAAATGATATACTACTTTTTTGTACATCACTTATTAAAAACTGACATAAGAAAACATATATAATTTATACTATAAAATAATTTTCAAAAATTGAATTCATTTGTGATGATAGATATCACATAAATTACAAATCTATCTTGCTATTATATGGGCAAAATTTATAAGTTGAATTTTATTACCAAATTTTGTAGGTTGAAATAATTACTCTGATTCTTAAACATTGTAACAAAGAAATAACCTAAAACTGTTTTATCTTTAGCTTTAATGTTATAAAATAGCATTTCATTTCAGACATTAAAATTCATATTTTATATGCATTTTTGTTACCTTAATTGCATATTCAGGGTGGTTATAATCCTTGAAAAAGTGGCAGATATAATTCAATAAATAGTTTAATTTCTATACAGACAACTAAAAGCATTTCAATTTCTATGTGAGTAAATATTTAGAACAAATGTACTTCTAGACAAAATATCTACTCATTAACCTTTGTCTTAATTACTCCAGCACAGTTCTTTCTACTAGAATCAAAATATACTATAAAAATGCAATTTTCTCCTGGCTAGAATTAAATGAATCTCTATGATAATAAACATTAGATTATAAAAGCTCAATTCTTTTCTATTTATTGTTAAGCATGACCTATTTTATTATTGTTTTATGCCCTGGAAAGTATCAGTTACATGACTGAGGCAAATTACAAACTTTCTTTAAAGTCATATATATTTGGAATGCAAACTGAAGAAGCTGGGATTAATCAGGAGCCATAAAGTCAGATAGACATAAAAGGCAGAAACAGTCAAGTTTAATAAGATGGATTAGATATAAATTAATAGAGTGAAGGATGAAAGTACAGAATTGAAAAATGCTTAACAACTATGCAATAACACAAGTCCCACATGATTTTCCAACTGACAAAATTTCAAAATAAATATTGGCATTCAATGAAAATTTATTTTTTAAAGCATCAAGTGGTGAGAATTAATCTATGAACCCAGAGTTTATGATGTTTGCCATAAATAAATGGATTTTCTGATTTTTACCATTCAGTGTTGGATATTCAGTGGTTCTCTCCTTTCTTTCAATTGAGCAAAATCAAATCTGTTCCTAAATTTAACAAGGAATAAATTACACCCAAATATTTCTTAGAATACCTTTTGTAAAAAAATCTTTCCTTCACTATTAATTAATGTATCTCCAATTTATCCATTTAGAACAAATGATGCATCACTACCCATCTTTCAATTTAACTTTCTAACATCTGATTTAAAACAAATAGTCTTCTGGTGACGGCAATACAAGAATTGTATTAGTGAAAGCTATGTTTACTCTTGAAGTAATTCATGGAAAGCACGTTAAAAGTAAAAACATTTGAAGCCATCTCAGAACTGAAATATCGGGCTTACTAACACAGTTAAAAGTCAAGTTACCAATCACATTCTCATTTCCCGGACAAATGACTGCTAAGAATAAACCACAAGAAACAGTTATCTCTTCTAAAAATTAAAGAAGTATTTCATTTATTTGAAAGACAGAGTAGCAAAAAAAGAGGGAGAAATAGAGACAGAGTTTAATCTTCCATCTGCTGGTTCACTCCCCAAATTGCCTCATCAGCTCAGGCTGCACCAAGTCAAAGCTAGCAGCCCAGAACTCAGTTAAAGTCTTCCAAGTGGAGGCAGGGACTTGACTACTTGAAGTATCATTTGCTGTCCCTAAAGGCATTTATTAATAGGAAGCTGAAAGCAGAAGTGCAGCCCGGACTCAAAACCAGGCTCTGTGCTTTTAAAATATTTCTTTTTAAAGTATTTTAATTATTATTTTTGATAACCTTTT